TTCTGTATCCTAAGGGAACGCTCTTTTCTCCTATAAGCAAGGCCGTAAAGGTATGCTGGCGTGTAAGCGCAATATTGATGTTTTGGTTTTACAGTGGAGTTTTTGGTGGCCTGGTGGTTTTTCTTCTGTATCTGTTTTTTATTTTTTAACAATAAACTTTTTATTTTATTTTAATTTTTTATAACAATTAACTTTTTATTTTATTTTTTTTTTTATAGTAGCAATCAAAGTTGTGTTGTTTCACTAAATTCACTTTCTTGATTAAATACTTTTATACTCAAATAATAAAAAAAGTATTTGTTGTATTACGATCAAATACATAAATAGGACGTGTTTTTAAATTAATATAGGCCAGTGCGTTTGAGGAGTAAAATTAATAAAATTTTTGCTTTTTATTTTATTTTTTATATTTTAATTAAAAATTATTAAATATTTTAATTTTCACAAATTAATTAATCCTCTAATTAATCCTTTAGACACAATTCTTGATACAAAGCATATCATAAAAATATCCTCTACCGTATTATCACAAAGACAGCTTAGACCAGTAGTATTAATATGCAAGACTATAAATTCCACTACCAGTTCATATTCAATTCCTTTATAGTTCCAAATTTTCAGTATAAAGTTAAATATCCAGTAGTAGCTTAAAAAGAGAACTTTTAAAAAATCTTTCCATTTTAAATGCAAATATATTTTTAAAATATAAAAATACAGCATAAATTGTAGAACTTCAGAGACAAAACATTTCAGCAAATCGAAGGAGTTATAAAATTCATGCAGGAATATTTTACTTATTAAGAGTAAAACACCATAAGCTATACATCTTACTAGTGATGGCTTTTTATTAAACATAATATGTCTTAATACTTCTTTTTTTATTAGAAATAGATCGATTAGTAGAAGTGTGTCGTTAACCTCAAAATACTTGTCTAATTTTTTATGGCAGTATTTGCATTCATAATTTGATTGTAAATTGTTATTTAACTTACCACAATTTATACATGCAGAGATATTTAAGAAATGTTTAGTGTCACTCATAAGGGAAGAAAGATTGATTTATTTTAAATAGTAAATTGATGTCTCTAAAACACAAAAATTAATAAATATTATTAAAGTATTTGAAAATAGATAAATAATTAAAGATAGGTATGAACAATAGATAAAAATTATAAAAATTATTTAATGATAGATAAATAGTTAATGAAATTTTAACACTATAATTAATTTTTGTACAGTTATATTTTTATAGGTAAAAGTTTAAAATCTTGACCCTTAATTTTTAATATGTTAGAAATACAAAACATGATAAATTGTAGCACAAAAGATTTAAAAGATGTAATAGTAACAGATAAATATATTATAACTGTAGGAAGAGAAGAATTGATATTTATTTATGATAAAAATAATACGCTTATAAAAAAATTAAACCCAGACTCTGGAAATGTAAATTCTGTGGTATTTGATAAAAATCTTATTTATGTTGGATGCCAAAGTGGAGCAATAAATATTTTTGATATCAAAACTTCAGAAAAGTCAGTTTTATATGGACATACTGGAAATGTATGCTGTCTAAAAATAAGAAATAATATTTTACTATCTGGATCATGGGATCACAGTTTAAAGATGTGGGATATAAATAAAAAGATCATTCTTTCTAGCATTGATCATCCAGGTACTGTATGGTGTGTTAGTTTTATTGATGATAACAGGTTTGTTACAGGATGTGCTGACAAGGTATTAAGAATTTATAAAAATAATTATTTGGAAATGACAATGACACTTCACAATTTTTGTATAAGATCTGTGTGTGTAAGAAATAACTTTATCTATTCTGTAGATAATGAAGGAACACTTTTAAAAACTAGTCTAGCGGGAGATTTATTAAGTCATAACTCATTTAAAGATTTTATGTATTGTGTGATTTTATATGGCGAGAATTTATTGTGTTGTGGCGAAAATGGTAAAATTTACATACTAAACAATAATTTACATATTATTGATGAAATATCAGTGCCATGTACATCTTGTTGGAAGGCATTTTTACATGAAAATATTCTTTATGTTTGTGGATCGGATGGTACACTTTATGTCTTTCAGGATAAAAAAAGTGATGAAGACATAAAAGAAAAATTTAATAAAATTAAAGAACAAAGAGGAGGAATAAAAGAATTTACATCTGATGGACAGAAATATAAGATTATTGATAATATTGTATATCAATGGTTAGACGATTCTTGGGTACAAATAGGTGAACAAGGAGAATCTTACGATTACAGTTTTAATGTTGAATTAGAAGGTAAATATTTTACGCTTTCTTTCAATAAAAAAGATAATATTTACGATGTAGCGGAAAACTTTCTTAAAGTTAATAAACTTAACTACGAATACAAAGATGAAATTATTGAATATATAAGAAAGAATTTTAAACAAGATAATTTTAAAACATACGAATCAATTAATAGTGAAGGAGTAAAAAGAACCCTGGCTTCATTTAATAATATAAAATATATTTTTATAAATCTAAATAAAATAAATAAAGAACATGGTGAATTTCTAGAGAAAGAATTACTGTGGTTACTTCAGAATAATATGAGATTTGTTGCATTAGACTTGTATAGATATTTTACAGTGCATGGATTTAATTTTGATTTAACATTTTTAATGCGCTTTGCTGCGAAAGACAGAAAAGAATCTTTAGCATTTACAAGATTAATTACAGTTTTGTATTGTGACCCTCCTTTTAATCTAGAAAGCTTATTTCCTGTGATACAAAAATTGAGAGACATAGGATATCTTAATGACAGTGATTTAGATGATTATTACAATAATAGATCTGTGAGGAATCAATTACAATTGTAATAAATTATTTACATGTTAAATTATATTATTTGCATTATAAATTATATTACTTACATTTTAAATAATATTACTTACATTTTAAATTATATCATTTACATTAAAATTTATATCATTTGCATTATAATTTATATCATTTGCATTATAATTTATATCATTTGCATTATAAATTATATTATATTTGTATAAAGCTCTCTATCATGTAAAAACATTCCATTTATTTTTTTATGACACAATGTCAGATGAGTTTTATTTTTAAATTCTATAAAAGCCTGTCCAGGCATTTTATTATTTATTCTAATAACATAAGACTTGGAATATTGTGATAGTATTTTATTTAACTCATATTTTATCCATTTAACTTTTACTTTATAATTTAGATTATAAATGTAAAGAACAAGCTTTTCTTTCATGGGTCTTAAAATGTAAAAAAATCTTATGTTTATTTAAAAATATTCTACTGAAAAAATCATTAAAAATTTAAACAAATAAACTTTTTTGCAAATTTGTCTACCTTTTTTGAAATCAATAAAAAGTATATAAATTTGTGAGGTTAAACAACCAAGCGATATTTTTTTTTTAAAATTAGTACCTGTATAATTTATGTTAAAAAATTTGTGTCTATTCTATTAGACCCAATTATGTTAAGTACTTATAGGTTACATCAATTCGTTAACGACAATATTTCATAATCTAAAAAATTGCATAAATTATTCCTGTTCTCTAGTGTATTACTATTAGTTAAAATTAAAATTTATAAGATAAACAAAAATAATTTTAACTGTCAATATTATTCTTGAATACTTTACACAACCATTGTAAATAAAAAGTCTTAAATAAATATTTGTGATAAAAACTTGTTGCAATTGTTGAAATTGATGAAAGCGTTTCGTCACGTAAAAGAATAATTGAAAGCCTACAGGCCTTATTTTATTTTTGATAAGACAACTATAATACAGTACAAATTTTGTTTCTTTTTAAGCAATTAATTGTACTTTAAGATCATGGATGTAATGTTCAATATTAATTATGATTTTTTTACTTTCAAATATTCTTCTCTGAAAGTTACAAGAATTTAAGCTTTAAATATTCTACTGTCAAATTTCTAAAAGTCTAAGATTTACAAGTGTAACCTTAATTTAAAGTACAATTAGATAAAAATAATGTTTCTCATAATAATTTGACGACTGGTTAATTCTGTATACATTTAAGCGAAAGTATTTTTTATGTATATGCAGTAAAGAATTTTCTGTGATGTATATTAACATTTAAATTTTATTATTTATGCTATTTTAAAGATATAACAAATTTATTTAAAATTTACATTTTTGTTAACAAACTTTTTAAAAATTTACATTTGTGAATTCGTACAAACAAATTGATTAGAAAGCTAATTTAAAATAATTTAATTTTAAACCCTTTATATGTTAAATGATTATAAAAACATCGATACTTTTTTACAAAATTATTTTAATTCAGAAAATAACACTGTACTATTAACAATTCACCAGATGTCAAAAAATCTTTCACATTCAAAAGCATTCTATAAATTTTTAAGAAATAAAATAAAAAAATTAATAAATTATCGCATAAACAGCATTAACGAAGAAAATGTTTTTAAAGAATATGAATGGATAATTAATATGATACAACTATTTAAAAAAATATTTAGGGAAATTAAAAACATATATAAGATAGAAAAAGAAATACTATCTTTGTTTAAACACAGAGTGTTAAGCTTAAAGACTTTATTAATTAACTTAATGTCTTCTAATTATGTAAACAAGAAATTTAATAATTTTGATAAATTTTTACATATTAATAATTATTTCGGATTGGGCTTTAAAGAGTTACTTGAGGTTGAAACGGTACAAAGGCTTGTTATTTATTATAAAGATTACAGTATAGCAGATTTAGAAAAATCTTTTGAATATTTTAATGATGATTTTTTACAAATACAAGATAAGGTATTGTTTTCTTTGTCTAATTTAGTAGATGAATTTAATATTTTTAGTTGTTTACAAGAAAAAGAAAATATAGAATTTTTAAATAAGCTTTTTACAGATAATAAAATAAAGTATAAAGAAATTATTCTTACTTTTTTACAAGAAAAGTACAGTTATAATTCACTGGTTAAAATTACCGATGAAAATTTGTATGTAAATATTATTTTAGCAATGTATAAAGAATATAAAGAAGTAGATCAATTTATTAAAACTGTATTTGTTAGTGTTTTTAAAGGTTTAGATATCAATTATGAATATTTTGTAAATTCTTTAGATTGTGTTACTAGTAGATCAACTGATTTATATGAATTTTCTGGTATTATTTACAATTTTATTTCTGAAAAAGAGATGTATGAACAACAATTACGAAAAACTTTATGTTTTAGATTAATTAATAATATTACAACTGTTGAAGAGGAAGAAAAATTTATTAATTTGTACAAAGTAAATGCAGGTGATGTTTATTCTTACAAAATGTTGAATATTTTAGAAGATTTTAAAAAAAGAATAATTTTTAATAATTCAGAAATTATGATGATAAGAAAATTTCAGTGGGCAGAGTTTGAAAATACAAATGTTTTTTTAAAATCTCTAGATAATTTAAAAAAGAAATATGAAGATGAAATTGCGAAATTTGAACGCAAAAAAATAATTTGGATGGATTTATTAAGTTCTGTAGATGTAGAAATATTTAATAAGAATTTTACCTTAAGTCTTTTACAATACAAAATATTACTAAATTTAAATAATAAAGAATATATTAGAAATTTAGATTATTTACATAAGAAAGAGTTAAATATATTATTGGAATACAAGTTGGTTGTTTTAAAGGATGACAATTTTTATTTAAATGAGGATTGTGAGGGATGTTGTCTTAACATTAATAAACATTCAATTGTTAAAAATAAATCTGAATTCTCTACTGAATTAACGAGAGATTGTACATCAGAAGTTCTAGACAGTAAAATTATGTTACAACTAAAGAAGAACAAGACCCTAAAAATTAGTCAATTAAATTCTCTTGCGGAGCAAAATAGAATTTTTGAGAGGCTGGATATTTTAGAAAAAAAAGGATTTTGCAAAATTGAAGAGGATACGGTATCTTATTGTCCTTAAATATTAAATAATTTTTATGCTTCTATTATGAAGAATCATTATATTTTAAAGAAATATTTTATGCAATTTTATTATGAAGAATCATTATTTTAAAGAAATATTTTATGCAATTTTATTATATTTTGAAATTTGTAAAAAGCAGGAAAGGTAATTTATAAAGTGTATGTTTTTTAAAATGACATTAATAAAAAATATTCTACTGAAAAAGAGGCTCTTTGATATAATCAAAAATTCGAGAAATTTACAAATTGAATAAATTTTAATTTTATGTATATTTCCTTATTATTTGATAAGTAATACCTCTTTTAATTATCAACTCTAGATAGTACAGTTAAAATATTTACAAGTTTCTATGATTTTTCTTACAATTTTATTTGTAATAATTAATAAATTTATAGTTACCCTTAAATGATTAAAGATTATGCTGTAAAATATTTTATTTTTAAACAATTTATTAAAAATGTAAGAAAAGATCTTAATGAACAAAGTGCAAGTATCTTTGCGATTTTAAATGAAAAGTTTTTAATAAAAGAAGAAGTTTTTTATAAAAATAGTGAAGGAATATTACTAAGTAGATTTGATGATAAGTGTGACATACTACTAAAAAATCCTTTTAAGAAAATAAATTGTCAACTACAAGAAGTTACAAGAAAGAACAAACTCAACAAGGAGGATATTTTTGAAACTTTGCATTTTTTAACTTATGACACACCTTTAGGCATCAGACTTTTAAAAAAAAATATTTATAAGTACGTGTCTGACAGATCCAGCATAAAAGATTATGTAGATTATTTAAAATACAACAAAAATAATGTAAATATTTCTATGCATAATTTAAAGAAAGAAGAAAATGATTGTAATGAAGAATTGGATAGTTATAGTTTGTTAAATGCTACAAATGATTTACAAAGTGAAAAACAGTTAACTATAAATAATACTGAACAAGATGTATTAGATTGTGATGTTAATTTGAATATTCCTAGTTCAGAAGTATTTACAATCCCTGATTTTGATTTTATTTATCTTAAAAAGTTAATTAGGATTTATTCATTTATATTTAATTTCTGTTCTAACAAACTGCCACCCAATACAACGATAAATAAGTTAGTTAAATCTTTTAAAGAATATGCTTATGTGTCTGATATTATCGGTGGAATTCATGGATTCCTTATAGAAAATTTATTAGAGGAAAAGCAGTCTATTGGACTTGAAAATTTTCTTAAAAATATTAAGTCTGTGACAAATTCATTAATTGATGAACACAACAGTAAAGAAATAATTACTGGTAATGAAGTGGGTATGAAAAACTGGAAACTTAAATCTAGAACATTTCTTCTAGAAATATACAAATTTACTAAAAATCAATATATCCTAAGTTTTTACAACGCTTTAAATAAGAAAAGCCCTTTTGACTCTGAGGATACAATTAGCTTAAGGATTTCATTAGTAGAATTTTTTATTAATTGTTACATGGCAACAAATATTTTCAGACAAGTGATATTAAATGAGGCGAAAAAAGTTAAGTGTTTAGAAAATAAAATTGTTGAGTTAGAAAAGGGATATAATTTGCAAGAGGAAAGATGTGCTGATGAAGTACAAAGTAGGATTTTTGGTCTAAAAAAAAAAATAATTTTGTCTCCTACTAAAGCCGATATTGGACAGATTGGCATTTATAAGATCTTTTTAGTTAACGATGAAATTTTTATATCCACTGATAATACATTTTATGTTCCAGGTAAAAATACTTTAGAGGACATAATTAATAGCACATGTGTTATCGAAAATAATACGATTAATAATTTAAAAGATGTTATAAAATACTTGTACTAAATTAAATATCACTATAAGTTTTATTAATTTTATATATTATTTTTTTTGTCATAAAACATATTAAAAATAACAATCTGCCTCTTCATTACATCAAGTAGATCTTTTTGCCTTTTAATATAATCTTTAACTACGCAGGATTTTTTACCATCATTAGAAACCTTTTGTAACTCTTTATAATCTTCATTTACTTTACGTTCAAAAAAAGATTTATACGCTGGTGATTTAAATTGACTGATAGTGTCTAACAAGTTTTTACATAATTCTTTGGCTGAAGAAGGAAGCATAAGGGGTTGTTATAAAAACTTACTAATGTCATTTTTAAAATCTTTAATAATCATTTTACGTTGATTTATAAGACGATTCTTTTCCTGTTCTTCTTCTGCCTTTTTAGTGAAGTAACGTAAAACTTCTTTTTTATTTTTTACGAATTCTAAGAAGTCTTCTGGGATTTGAATATTATCAGATTCTTTGATTGCCTGATTACAATTCTTAATAAAATTTGATATTTCAGAAGTAGGAAAAATATCATTGTTTTTGTCTTCTATCTTACTAACTATTTCGTTAAGGTTGTTTATACACTTGGATAAGGTGTCTTTAAAAATTATTTTGTTGTCTTTTTTAAATGCCTTCATAGGGGATATTTACAATATAATATAATTATATGAAATAATTTAGATATAGAAAAAGAGAACCTTTAGTCAAAAAGTTTGAAAAAATGATTTTTATAATTTAATCTTTCTTATATAATTTACTAACAAGAAGTAATTTAAATATAGAAAAATGAATTGAAAGTAATGGGACAGGCTTACAATTCAAAAATAGTTTATTAAAAAAAAATAGTATCTATCTTTGTCTTTTTATTGTAAAATCCAATAAACTATGTTCATCTTATCAACATATTAAGAATATTTATTAGCATCAATGTAATATTTTTAATCTTTATAAATTTCGCTTAATATTGTTAAAATATAATGCTTGATTATCTTTAATATTATTCAACAAATTAATTATGTCATTCACATAACATTCATGTTCATTTTTAACCTTAATTATTTCATATTCTAAATTCTTACAATTTTTAATATTTGCATCAATAAGATCCTGTGTAGTATTTCTTTTCTGTGAGATGGTCTTATAATCTCCTTTTAACTTATCCATTTTACTGTATATTTCTTCTGTACATTTTTTATCATTTTCTTGTAAATTAAAAATTTTTGTCTCAATATGGCTAATCTGCCTATTAATATAATTAAGTCTGATTTTACTAGCATTAATTGTACTTTCAATATTTTGTATCAAAATGTCTGTAGCAGAAATAAATGATTCAATTTCTTCTAGCTTATTAGAAACATTCTTAAGTGTCATACTTTTTTCAATAAGGTACTTTAAATCTTCTTTTGATTTTAATAGCTCATTAATTCGATTATTAAGATTTTCTTTCTCAACTTTAAGTGAATTAAGAGATAACACTTCTTTATTTAGTAACTCTTTCATTTCTTTTAATAGCGAAACTAATTTAGCAGGATCACTGACTACTTGTGTTTTTAAACATTCAATTTCTTGTCTAAGATTCATTATCATTAATTGATACGAGCTTAGTTTGTCATTTAATTCATCACGATCTTGTTTTAACCTTTCAGTATCGGTTACAAGTCCTCTTTGTACTTTAATAATCTCTTTAAGTTCATTATCTAAATCAAGTATTTCTGCTTCAAGTAAATTTTTATTATTACTTTGAGTATTTAGATTTACTTTTAATTGGTTAATTTCTTTTTCTTTACTTCTAATTTTTGTTTCAATATCTTTTTTTAAAATATTCTTTTCGTCATTTATGCTCTTAATTTTATTAAAAATACCTTTTTTTGTATCCCGATACATTGAATAATTAACAACATAAGAAAGAATACTAATAAGTCTTCTAGAATCGCATGATAAATCTTTTATATTAAAATCAGAAATACCAATTTTTGTTAAAAATGAATATATACGCTTATATATTATCATTTGATACAATGACTCCTCTAAATTACAATCTAATTCAACATTACAAAAATAAATTAAAAGATTTTCATAGAGACGCAAAATAAAACTATTGGTTGGTTTTAAAATATCTGATTGTCTTAAATCAATGTCAATGTCACTAAAATACTGGACAAGGTCTTTTGGTGAGAGGTCAGGGACAAAAGATGGCATTTTTATGGGCTAAGAATTTTGAAAAATTTATTTAAAAATTGTATAATTTCTGGTTTTTGACAAACAAACAATAAAATAAACATGTTTATATTTTAAGATGCAAAATAATTTTATTTAAAACATTATTTTAGACATTCAAGATAAAAAAATTAAGTGAAAAATGTATTTAAACGATATAAAAGTTAGTATTTATTATAAATGTAATATTAAAAAATTATAAATTGTATTTATAAACTTTATTTTTAACATGAATATAAAAAAATTATAAAATAGATTTAAAATGTTCTGTTGTGTTTCCTTTAAAAGAACTTAATATTACTATATAAGATTAAGCAAAAAATTATAAACAGCTTTTTTTACTGCATCATATAATAATAAAAGTTATTTAAGCAAAATTAAAATATTTTTTTAAGGACAAATTTACTTAATTATTATTGAGTTTTGTCTTTAAATTACAGATAATATTTTTATAATTTTGTAAGTAAGTAATTTAAAATGATTAGTATGCATTTAATTTATTAAATTTTATTGTTTTTGAACAATAAAAGCTTGTATCAAAATATAGTCTTTGTAATAGATATTCATTAGTTATACAAATTTACCGTTGTTAGTAAATTTAAAATTATTTATCACCCTTTTATGGATTTTGATACAAATATAGAAATAATTGATAAATCTGAAATAAGTATCTATAATTTGAAATCTTGTATTGATGATTATTTAGAAAATAATAATATCAACAGTATACATAAAATCTTTTTTGATGAATTAATTGATTATATTAATGAACATATTAAATAATTTAAATTTATATTTGCGATCTACTAAATTGGTAGAGCACATATATGTTTATAAATTAATCTTTCTGTTTTGCTCATTTCTTTTGGATGTTAAACTATGTACAAATATTAAACATCATTATTATGTCTTATAATCTTACGAATATTTTTTGATTAAAAGTTTTCGGATTTTTCTTATGTGTGTTTTTTCTATACTTTATTAGACAAATTATAACTTAATATTTACATGCAATTTTAGTTAATGAACATATTTAAGTGTTGTTTTACAATTCAATTAATTATTTTTTTTACCCTATGGATATTGAGTTTGGCAAAGAAGCTCTAAAAAATGGAAGTTCTTATGTATCAAGAAAATTAGATCTAAGTTTTTTAAGATCATACTTCAATATAGACAATACTTATGTTTACAAGAAAAGTCTTATGATTATATTTCCTTATATTTTTAATTGGGAAGATGACTCTACAAACAGGCCAGACTTGTACATTCCGATAATGAGTTTTTTTACATACATCCTTGTTAAGGGAATGTATTACGGCATACAGAATTGCTTTACTCCCGAAAAAATCGGATTTATATTTTCTAGGCTTGTATTTCTAGAAATGATATTTATTGCTGTTGTAAAAGGATTGGCTTATTTTATGAATATTAATCTTAAAGTTCTTGATATGGTTTGTTATTCAGGATATAAATATTTTACAATATTAATTCTACAATTAATTCCTAGAATAAGATTTATTAGTTTTCTAATAACCTTATATTCATACATTAGCTTCTTTTTTTTTCTGAGTAGATCACTAAAAAATAGCTTTCTTAATGAATTCACAAGTGATAGAAATAAGAAAATATACTTTATATTTGGTTTTGTATCTATGCAAATTGGCTTTGTATTTATATTTTCATAAAAAATTAAAAAATTTGTTTGTTTTTAAGATTTATCATGCATTTTAAAAAAGACTTTGTTTGTATTATTTATGCAAAAAAACTATTTAAATATTTTTAGCATTACTAAAAATCATAGTTTTTTAAAAATAATTTGAACACCCCGAAATGGTATTTAAACTTATTAAGAGCGTGTTAAAGAAAAATGTAAATTACCAGGGAGATTTAATCTCTAATAAAGAAATTATTGAAAAGAATTGTATTTTACAGCTAGATGATACAATTTTGATTTTTAGTCAAAAATATAAATTTGATCTGATAAATATAAAAAATTTGAAATATAAAGATAAGTCTTTATATTTTACTTATGACCAAACAAAATATAGATTTACATGTATATTAGATTTAAAAGATTTGTTTAATAAGTTGCATCCTTTAACAACGGAGAATGAAGTACTGTTTACTACTAAAGATTTTATTTATAAAATTTATAATACTAAAACATCATCATTTGTTCAGGTAGATAAAGATCTTGTGTTAGAAATAATTAAAGATGGAGGCTTATTTTATTTAAAACTAGAAACCGACGATGATATTATTCATTTTGAAGAAATTACTACCGAGACACAATATTACATTGATAATAAGAATAACACTTTTGTTTGGTCAGTATTAAAAGAAGGTTCATGGTATACTTTTAGTATAAGTTTTGATAGCAATTTGACATATCTTGAATTTATCAGTAAGTATGTGTCAAGCACCTATAAAGCAGAAGAAAATGAAGAATATTTTAAAAAAATGGAGGAAGACAATTGTAATTATGGAAGCAATGAAGAAAATGAAGTTATTTTTGAAAGCTTAGAAGAAGAAGGAGACGAATACGGGGAAGGCGAGGTAGTAGATCTTAATAATTTAGAAGATAAGAATGATCATCTTGGAAAAAATGAACATTTAGTTGTTGGGAATGGAAGAGCATTTGTAACTCGTGAATCATCCGTTGGAGTTTTTGAAAATACTAATGAAGGTTTAGAGTTTAAAGAGAATTTATCAGGTATTATGAAAAATCCTGCAAAAAAGATTATTTCACATGACAATTGTAAGACTCTTATTTATTTAGACAAGAATGATAATAAAATATTGCACAAAATAGATCTTGATAGGGCAGATGTTGTAGAATCCTGGAATGTTAACAGGAATATAAATGATTATTTTGATGGATCAAAGCTAGTTGACAGTGAAACACTTATAGGGTTATCCGATTATTCTGTGTTTCGAATAGATCCACGTACAAAAGAAAAGGTAACACAATCTAAGGAATATAAGACTAAGAATGAATTTATGTGTGGCATGTCAACTTCTAATGGACATGTGGCAGTAGCTAGTAAAAATGGAGATTTAAGGTTGTACGATAAAATTGATAAAAGAGCGAAATCTCTTTTACCTGGGTTTGGTGATGAAGTAAAATATGTTGATGTAACTAGCAGTGGTGAGAATATTATATGTACTTGTAAAAATTATTTGCTTTTGTATTCAGTTGATGGTAATTATAAAAATCAAGTCGGTAAAGATAAGCCTGTTCCAAAAAAACTTACCTTAAGACCTGAACACCTGGCTTATATTAATGAAGAGATAAATTTTACACCTGCTAAATTTAGCACAGATAAACACGAAGATAGTATTATCACCAGTACAGGTAAATTCGTAGTAAAATGGAATCTTAAAGATGTTTTAGAAGGAAAGGTATATTCTTACCAATTAAGTAGATGCAGTGATTTAGTAGTGGCAGATAATTTTGAATTTGGTGTAAATGATAATATTATTGTGACTATGCCTGATGATGTAAAAAGTCTTAAAGGGTGTGTGTTAAGACGACCTAATAAGAAATCTTTTGAATAAAATGTTAATTTATTTCTTGTTCTAGTCTTTGTACTTTTTACAGACATTTGTATCTATTTATTAATTATAAAACTTCTTGTTCCAAAAGCCTTACCATAATAATAATAAAAAACTTATACTTAAAATAAATTATATTTTAAAATTAAAACAATTTAGTAATTTTTATTTACTAATTTACTAAAAACACGATATGTGTTATATTTCTGTTTCTTTTCTTCTCATCTTCTTGTAATCCATTGGTAAAATCATATTATTTAATCCCCATATACCTTTCTTATTCTTCTTGGCTGTATTTTCTACTTCAATAAAAAGGTCTTTATAATTTCCAAAAATTTCATCTTTCCCGCTGTAAACACAAGCCAGTCCTGATTTTAACATTTCAATATTAACATTAGTATTGAAACACAGTCTCTTTAAATATACAATAGCTAAAATTCTGTCATATCTATCTACACCCAGTATTTCCAGTTTTACTTTTTTGTGTAATATAAGAGTAGACAAATAGTCTTTGCTTTCTTTAGACAATGGTTGTGCAGCTACATTAAAATATCGTATTTCCGGGGCATCAATACATCCAAGGCGTATTTTTAATTTCGGATCTGACGATTTGTACTGTGCAGATCTGAAAAATGGTGTGTGAAAAAAATGAAACCCATCACCATCAGAAATATAAGTCACTATACCTGACAATTTTATTCCACTACATCTTCTAGGTAAATCTTGTATTGTTGTTATACGAGCAGATTTTTTCCATATGTAGATAAGAATAAATACAATGATAAGTATTACTATGATAGCTATTCCCTGTGCCTTATTTATTTCTATTTGCATATTAAAAGAAGGGATAATTAAAATTGGTAAAACGAACAAAAATTTAATAAACAGTATAAATAAGTTTAATTTCATTATCATAATTTAGTATTTTAAGGTAAACATTTTGTATTTTTTGTACTTTGGTTGTATTCTACTGTGCTAGTTTATATAAAGTTTCAAAACATTTCAGTTATTAAACTTATCCTAAGGAATGTTTATTATGGGTGCAAATGCTATTTGTTAAGCTTATGTTAATTTAATATACAAAGGTCGCTATTTGTAATTGCTTTAAAAATTAAAATAACTATGCTTGTTTTGTCAGATATATTTCATAAAGCATCTGCATGACAATTATGTTTTTCAAACCAGTTCGTTTTTAATACAAATTAAAAATAGTAAATAGCATAAAATTGCGAATAAAAAAACGTATTGCTTATATATGCAAAATATAAGTTAATACTTGAGGCCAAATATAGATGATATTTTTGAAGAAAACTTAAAAAACAAATTGATTAAAAAAATGCTAAATTGACTATTTTTTATAATCATGCATTGATATAAGAAAATTAAAAAAATTGAGTTTATATGAAAGAAAGTTGAATATTTAAAAGCTCAACTGATATAATTTTTATAGAATTAACAAAATATATTTATTTGTAATGTTAGATAGCAGCAATAAATATATTTTAAGCAACGACTGATTATTTCTCCTGCAAGGTATTTGAATAAGAAAAAAATTATTTATTGCAATTTTAAATAATGAATAGAAAATTTTTATAAAATATTTGTTATGATTTTTATAGATTAACCTTATAAAATTGTATAAGTTTATAAAATTTTTAAATAGTACAATAAAAAGTTAATGAAGTAAATTTTATTTAGCTACATAAATAAAATCCTACAAAGCCAATTTTTTCTGTTGCTGTGAATTTAAATCAAAACTTAAATTCTAAAAAGTATAATAAATGAGAATAATATTTCTAAAATTTTGTTCATTTTTTTAAAAGCCTTTATAATATGCAAGTTTTAACAAAAATGAATTTTTTATAAATCTTAAATTGTTTAAAAAAAGCAAACAAAGTTAAAAAACAATCTGATAAGATTTTCTTTATATTTTTTCTATTGATTTTAAAACAGCAACATTGCAATTTATAGTGCAAAATTTATTTAAATACACAAAATAAATAGCGTTAAAGTATTTTTTTGGACATAAGCCGAGTATTGTTTTACTTTCAATAAAAACTTTTTCGCTGTTTATTATTTTTTTTAAAGAAAAATAAAGGGATTAATAATCTCAATTAATAAAAGATTGTTTGTAATTAGTTGCATTTATTTATTCATCAAAATTTAATGTCTTGTCTTTACAATGCTAAGAAAAGCATTTCTTGTCTATGGCGTCGTCGTGAAAGTAAATGTCGAAATCAGGTAAAAAAATGCTGTAAAAGACAAGTTAGACGTCTTAAACTATTTTTTTCTTTAATCATTTTTAATATATTTTGTTATATTATCAGCAAACTTTTGTACCATTTAAAAAAATTGAGCAGCTTGTTAGAGATACAAATGAAAACAAATAATTGTCTGGTCTTCTATGTCTTATTTGTTCATCTAAACATTGTCCTGTTTATTATCATTAGTAAATAATCTTCTTGCATACAAAATCTCTTCAAATGTGTTGTATACAAGATCGTTTATGCCATTAGTTATAAAAAAATCTTGTCCTTTTACACTAAAAAGTAGTATTCTAAAATGATATCTCTCTTTTTCAGTGAGACTTACAGTTTACATTTTTGTAATAATTTTATCTTAAGATTTTATCTTTTATACCATTTACCATTCTTAAAAACATAGTACAAAAAGATTTCTATATAATAATACATTCTTGTTTCTTCATCTTTTTCTTACATTTAAAATAATGAGAAAATTCTGTATATGAACACATTTTTATGCCCAAAAAATTACTTTAAAATCTCTATCCCATGAAATTCAATAAATTAGAATATAATCTAAATGTAGATTTTGTTCCTTTAAATATTAGAAATTTCAATAAGCTTATAATTAAAAAGACCAACTATACAGGTTCTTATAAAATAAAGACAAACGAGAATATAAATTTGATAGATACAAATATACTAAATATTGAAAACCTTTTCTGTACATGGAAAAAGGTATATAAGGTTCAACTTAATTATACATTAGATTTTGTTCCTGGTGATAGTATTGGTCTACTTTGTTCAAATAATGATTTGCTTGTTAATGAAATGTTAAGTTTACTAGAAATGTCCGGTGATACATTATTATATATTGAGCAAGTTGGAAAAACGGGGTTTCAATTCGAAGGATCTTTGCGTGACTTTTTCAAGTATATTTTTGATTTTACTTCATTGCCTAAAAAAGCATGGCTTATGGATATTTCTAAAACCTCTAAAAATAAGCATGATATTGAATATCTGTGTTCTAAAGAAGGAGTAAAAGATTATTTAAGCATCATTAAGAACTGGAATAATGTGCTTGACATTATATATACATTTCAATGTAAACCAAGTTTAGAGGATCTTATTATGAATTGTCAAACAATTAAGCCAAGATATTATTCACTTACTAACCACGTAAATGAAAAATGTGAAATTTTAGTAGCAATTATTAAAAAAGGCGATAGATATGGACATGTTTCCAATTTCATAGATATGCAAAATTATAATAATTTAAAGATCTGTCACAGACCGAGTAAATTATTTAGATTAAATTTTTGTAAAAAAGTGTTGGGTATTTGTACTGGAACTGGCATTGCTCCATTTTTTTCGTTTTTGAAAAATAAAGAAGACGATCAATATATCAAACTAATATATGGATTTAGAAATCAAGAAGATGATCTTATTAAAGATGCAAAATATAAAAACACAGAAATTATTAAAATTTTATCTTGTAATAAAATTTATGTTACTGATTATTTATTACAAAATTTAAATAAAATAAAAACATACATTAAAGACGGATGTTTGGTTTATGTTTGTGGCCGACCTGATATGCAAAAAACTATTTATAGCATTTTTAATGAAAATTTTTCTGAAATTGTGAAAGAAAAGAGGCTATTTTTTGATAGTTGGATATAAGGATGTGTACGTCTTTTAGATAACTACACAACTTTTATGATTATTTAAAATAAAATAAATTTGATTATTCATTTAATTTTCGACCAATTCATTTTTTTTCCTAAACATTTGAATTACAATTGCTATAAACATCATTAATATAAAGAATATTATCAATAACATTTTCAAAAGACTGAAAACTTTTTTACGATTCACTAATCCATTAAATGAACTGTAGTAAAAATATCCCTTTTCATATGAAATTCCAGTTATCGATAAATCACATAGCTTTTTTTCACAAAACAGCTTAAAATTTTTAAATAAATATCCCTTACCGTCTGCAGTTCCTATAGAGACAAACTCGTCACTGTCAATTGTCATACATGTAATTTTCGGTATTTTAAAAAAAGCTTGAGTTTTCCCTAAAAATATTAACTGTGAATCAACCCCCTTTAAATAAAATACTAAGGTTTCATCTCCTAAACAAGCAATATCTCCAATTTCTTGTTGATAAGAATATTTTTTGCCATTAAATACAAAAGAATATTCTTGATTTTCAATGGCCACCTTGTGTATGCGATTTCCTACTATAAAAAAATCGTCCCATGTATTTGGTATGTCAGTTTTTCCTTCTTCCCTTTCTACCAATATTTTATTTCCTACTTTTTTTAGTGCATAAATATATTCTTCCTGTATTTCGTCTTCTACTAAAGTATTAGTTGAACTCTGTTTGTTGTACTTTTTTGTCTTTTTAACTTCTCTTATTTTGTGTATTGCATCATAAATTGCAAAAAGTTTTTTATTTGAAATAAATAGAAGATGTCTTTTAAATAACAATACATTGGCAGATTTCTCTATTTTGTTGATTGGAGTTAAACTTGTTCCATCAAATTTGCATACATAAATAAAGTTTGTACCCCTGCCTGCAAAAAATAGCGGAAAATCGTTTAGTACGCCACTTAAACTTTTTGTAGAGGTACTGATGCTACTATCTTCTTCATCCCTTCTTAGATCATCTATTTCTAGGCACATTTCTCCCCTAGATATACTGAGTCCAACAATTATATCTTCAGTTTCATAAAATGCTATGTCTTTGTAAGTTGTCTCGTCAAGAATTAGTATTCCATTTTTTTTACCAAAATCTTTACTTCCACCGCCGCCAGCTGCTATCACATAATTGTAGTAAGTTTTGAGACTAAAAACAGGAAAAACAGGTGCTTTCATAAAAAAAGGGTAAAAAAGATTATTTTAAGCAAAGTAATTTATTATTGGTGAACTAGAAACCAATAAAAATATTGTTTCGGGTTGGAAATTTAGTAATATTTTTTTATACATATTATAAATTAAATAAATTTAAAATTTGTTAGCTTCTTCGTTTACATTTTTAAAATCTTCTGATAAATGTTTACTTACTGATAAAAGATATTTATACCAACATGTAGTTTTACCAGCCAACTCTCTTTTAATATTAATAGGTGCATCTTTATTATCATTAATAAGTTCAATAAACTTAATTTTTATTATTCCATATAATTCGTTCAATAATTGTTTATGACTTGTAACATAATTTTGTAATTCTATATTAAAATTTTTAGAATTTTTAAAAATCAAATCTATTTCAGTCATTTTTTGTTTTACAATCTCAAACTTTAGACTTTCAATTTTTTCATTTATAATGTTTTCCGACCTTAAATTAATATCAGGGAATTTTTTGCTAATTTTTTCATGTACATTTTTTAAGATAACTTCATCTTCTAAAACAGTTTCTGCAGTAGAAGACATAATGTAGTCTTTTAGGTATAAATCTAATCTATTAATAAATATCTCATCCACTTCATTATTATTAAACTTGGCTATAAATGTACAACTTTCGTCAATAAATTTTTCAATTTCTTTTCTAAACATCAATCTATTATTTAAATTATCATTTAAATTCGATTTACTAAAATATTCTATAGCAATTCTTCCAATAGTCTCATTAAATTTTTCACTGTCTATGTTTAAAATTTCCATAAGCATTTTAATATAAACTAATATATCTTTGTACTTAAATATATCTCTTACATTATTCATAAAATAATCATTAATATTTTCTAGTATAATATCGTAATAATCAAAAAAGTTTTTATTAAAAATAACAAGAAAATAACTATTTACAATTTCTGAAATCATGCAGTACATAAATTGATCATCTTTTTTAATTCTTAAAATTAAAGATTTTCTTTCTAAATTAAAAGTATCAATGAACTCATCAATAGAATCTAATTGTCTTCTTATGTAAATAATATCTAAAAATTTTGGTGTAATAAAAGCATTTCGTAGTGCAAATAAGTCATTAAAAATTATTCTATGTTTTCCTTTTGACATGTTATTGACAATTTCACAAATTTTTTTTCCTAACGTACTAAAATTTTGTGTTACTTGATTTTTGTATTCAGTTATAAATTTAAAAGTTTCTAATTCTACTTTTTTTAAGTAATTTGTTGCAATCTCATTAAGATTTTCATAAGATCTGTAATCTTTAAAATGTTCTAGAAGTAATTTTATTTGTTTTGCATTTTTTGCTAATTTATAAAAATACAATTTATCCAAATTTGTTAAATTTTCACAAATTAATTCATAAAATGATCTTAGTAAACACAATTCATCTAATAATTTACAGATTAGACTATTAAGATTTTTATGGTCTTTTATTTCTTTCTCAATTTCTAATATCTGTAAAGATATTTCTCTGTATTTCAATATTATCTCATCGTTAGTGTCAATTATTAAAGGTATTTTATTTTTTACATTTTTTAAATCATTACATCTTTCAATAATATTTAAGTAATCTTTTGAAATATGTGAAAGCATCTTTTTTTCTTTAGATTCTATTTCTTCTGTAAGAATCAAAGATTCTTGTTCTTTATCTTTTTGTCTAAGCATATTTTTTAACCTTATTTCATTTTCAAGTGTAATTTTCATGTACAAAGGGGTTTAAAAAAGATTTATGAAATTTTTCTAATGTAAGGATCCATCCCAAGGTATACTGATTCAACATTTTTATCTTTTATAAATGTTTCTAATACATCACATAAATTAATATAATCCTTAAGTTTCTTACATAAATTGATATGTTCACTAAATTCGGGATATTGTTTCAAAAATTTTTTAAGTAATTTAAAAGTATGTGATTTTATTGTGTGTATGTCGTATTCATTGTAGTTTTCTAAAAAAATATTTAAATATTCTTTATAAATAGATATATTAGTCTTACTATGTCTTTTAATAAAAATTAATGGATTGTATAAATGCGTCTCTGCAACCATTACACCATCACATTTAGTGTATTCTACACAATTATCTATATCAGAATTATTAATAATATTACCGTTAGATATTACTGGAATATTAAGTGAGGCCTTAATAGCTCTAATGTGATCCCAAGAAGCAAGCCCCGTATTTAAACCTCGTTGATCTCTTGTTCTTCCGTGAACTGTAAGCATTTTACAACCTGCCTGTTCGATCATCTTAGCATATTCTACACTTTTTTCTATTGATTCAAATATTCTAATTTTACAAGTAACAGGAACTTTTAAGTTGTTTGATAGAACTGTAACTATTTCTTTTACTTTAAGCAAATCATCCATTAAAAATGATCCGTAATTGCCCTTACGTGCGATCTCTTGTGGGCAGCCCAAATTAATATCTATGGCATCACAGTATTCCTGTAAGATAAGTGAAACTTTAAGCATTTTGTTTACATCATTACCACATATTTGTATAATCAAAGGTCTATCAATTTTATTTGTAGTGTACCATCTATTACTCAAAGGATTTATTTTTGACCTAATAAAAGTATCACAGTTAACCATTTCAGTATAGCAGATGTCTGCACCGTAGCGTCTAGCAAGAATGCGCCATGCAAGTTCTGAATTACCGACCATTGGTGCTAAAACTTTATATGGCTTTTTTAAGTTTTTTAAAAAATTCATGTAAAAGATTCTTAGGGGTCTATTAAACAATATTTGCAATAACGAATAATACTTAGTCAAAAATGAGAATAGATAATAGTAAACTATAACTTTTAAAGTGGTTTTATAATATAATACATGTAATAACAAGTACTGTATTTTATAAGAATTAAAGCAAGAAGATAGAAGATATTTTGAATATAGAGCGTAATTAAATTTTTTAAAGATATTTAATAATAAATTTTAAATTATAACTTAAGTTTATACATTAAAGTTTTACCACTAATTAAATGAAAAATAAAAGTGTTTAAAATAACATTTTATTTTATACATCAAGTTTTGTAATTATCTTACGAAAAGTTTACTTATTAAAAAAACATTAAAATAAATTATATTATAACACAATTTAATATGTTTTTTTGTAACAAAGAATATAAAATTTTATCTTCTAATATCAACCATTTAATAATTTTTTTGTAAAAAGTTTAATTATAATATTTACTTTTTTGGAGGAAAGTAAATGTTGATAATTGCACATTAAACAGCCAATTATTTTTTTACAACTGTTACTACTTCTAACTAAAAATTGAATAAATTATATGTACAAAATTAGTTAAATATCATTTTTTTATAATAAATAAAATGTTAGTCTTTTTGTTTGTAAATTACAAACAAACTAAAAAATAATTGTTTTTTTAAAAATATAAAAGCATAATTTTTTTACCCCAGTAACATGAAATTGATTTGTTTAATATCATTAATCTTCAGCAGAACACTGTTAGTTAACAGAGAAGATGATGTTAAATTTGTTAATTTGGAAACTAAACATGATGATAGTATTGAGAAAGGCAAAGGAAGAGGCCAGCTTGATGATCTAAACATTGAGTTAAACAATGAAGAAGAAATGAAGAAATTTCATCTAGTTTCTATGATACCTGATGTGCCCGAAGGAATGGGACAAGTATCTAAGATTATTGAGAATTTTGTGACTGATGAAATAGTTGAAATGAAGAAAGGAGAAAGATTTTTCTTAATTTTTTTTGTAGATGAGAAAACAGCTTTACTACCAGCTGAACATGTTAATAATGATATGAAGATTTTTATTTCTACAGACAAAAAACTTGCTGAAGAAATGAATACACCATTTCCTGGTGTTTATGGATTTAATCCAAGAGATAAAGTATCTTATCAATTTCAACTTAATGAAGAAACTGTTAAAACAATATCTTCAATTGTTAGTTTAGATCTTATTGGTGTTCTTTCATATGAGAATTTGGAAGCTTACAGGGCTACTGGATTGCATTCTTACTATGTGTTTATCAAGCCAGAAGATATCCCATCATTTCTTTATAATTTTAAGTCTACAGCCACGAAAGTTAAGCATTTGGGAAAATTTTGTATTATTCCTTACAAAGGTGATAGGGAACAATTAAAAGTTTTTGGAATGACGGAAGAAGATTTGCCAGGGTTATTGTTTATCAATAATGGAGAGAAGTATCCTTTGAAGAAGTGTACAGAAAATGATATTGTGAAATTTGTTCAGGATGTTTTAGATAAAAAGTTAGAACCAGTTTATTCTTCACAGGACGAACCAGAAAATAATAATGAACTTAATGTAAAAGTTATCACTAGAAATAATCTTGAAAACTTTAAAAATGATAATACTAGAGATAGGCTGCTTATTTTTAGTTCACCCGGATGTTCGTATTGCAATCAATTAAGACCTATTTTAGAAGAAATAGGATCAGTTATTAAAACTAATGCCAATGACAAACTTGCCATTGGAGCATGTGATATAACGATTAACGACATTAATGGATTTGATATCTCATCTGTACCTAAGATTTATCTTATAAAAGGAAAAACAGGGGAAATTATTTTGTTTGAAGCAAAAGAACGAACTTTTAATACTTTAGCCGAATTTATTAATTTAAATGGAGAATTTAAAGTAGATTTAAAATCGTTTATTAAAATTGAGGAAGAAAAAGTGGAAACTCCTGTTTCTGATATTGAGGAGAAAAAACCTGCTGAAAGTATCCAATCTGATCGAGGGTTATAATTAAAATATCTATTTTATTCTAATGTATTTTTTAATTTCGTAATAGTAAAATTGTTCGACTTTTACGATTGTTATATACATAAACTTAACGTGTATTAGCTTTTCTTTCATGCTTAATTAATTGTAATGTTTAAAATAATTTATTATATACAAAAAAGTAAAGTATTTAATAATTATAATTTTACCATTATAAATTAATTTTAGTAATAGAAACGACACACAATCAAAAAAAAAATGTCTTTATTAAATATATCTTTTAAACCCATTTTCGTCTTCTATAAGTCTTTTCCGCTGTTTCTTTTTTATTCCTTTTGTGTTAATATAATGTTCTGCATAATTAACAATATCCTTTTCGATATCTTTAGGATCACAGAAAAAGCTGGAAGAAATAACTTTACATTCTTTGTTTTCCTCAAAAAATAAAGCATCATTAATATTTCCAAATTCAAATACATAAATGTATCCTTTATCACATTTCTGTACTGAAATACATTTACCTTTGTCTACAATAATCTTCATTTTGTATTCTAAACTGAAAGATACAATATTCTCTTTTCTTTCTATAAATGTTTTGACTTCTGTACTTGTATTTTCTTTATCAACTGTAAAATTAAAATGAAGTTTCAACATCTCAAGCCAAGGATTAAAAATAATCAAAATATATCAAAAACTTTTAAATTAATGATTTTTCTGCTAATATTTCGTTACAATAATCATGTATGTCTTTTTTATAAACCAAAAAAGAGCATATCCTGCATGATTTATAAACACCATTTGTATTTAATATTTTATCTTTAAAAATAACCAATGATCGTTTAGAAAATACTGGCTTACCATTTCGATCTAATTCTATCCAATTATTTTCTATCAAAGATGTAAGAATATTACCTTGTACACTCCGGTCAAAGCATAAATTTTCAAATATTTCCAAAATTTCTTTGTTTTCCTCTTCATTGTAACCAAGAATTAGTTCTCTACTACTTCCAGTATTAATCAATATATAACAAGACTTGTCATACCATTCTATAACATCAAAATGTATTTTACGAAGTATTGATTTTATTTCGTGTAGATTCTTTATTTTTTCCTTTTCGTAAAATCCAGTAGAAAGTAATTCATAAATTATATTTTGATGATCAACATCCATTAAAAGGAGGCTTAGAAATATTTTCTTAATTCGATTTACAAAAAAAAAACTTGGAAAATAATTTTTAAGAGAAACAAAATATAGTTAAATATAAAGAAAAGTACATCTAATCAAATTTAAAAAAAGTTGAATATTTGTTATATAAATTTATTTCTTTTAATTTTACAATACATCTTCTATCTATATAAAAAGTTTGAATCCGAACATTTATTTATTTTTTAATCCTTTTTCTTTTAATTTTGGAAAACGTTTTTTTAAATAAATAACAATCTTTTATAGTTTGACTATATTATAGCAGCTTATAATTTTTAAATAAATTTTCCTTTAGTTGTTTTCAATTATTCAAGTTGTAAAATGTGCACTATTGTCATTTTATAATTTAAAGTATGCAATGTGTTATTTTTAAACAATACATACATACATAAACAAATATACACATAATTTAAACAAAGAAAGCATGTATCGTAGTCAAGTCCCCATTTTAAATGGGATAGCGTAAGCTAGTTGATATATAAAAAGAATTTATAGTAGAAGAAAAAATAGATATAAGTCTAACTTCATTAAATTAAAAATATTTAGCTCGCATGGACAAAAAATGCGTGCATTATGCTATAAATGACATAGATATAGATGATAGTGTTTTAATCAAAAAGATTTTAACACTAAGAGTAAAACAAAAAAGTTAAAAATAGATTCATTTTATTCTACGATTAAAAAAGAAATTAAATTTTTAGCACTAATAGCATTAAAATTGAAAGTAATAATGCTGAAAGAATTGTTTTAATGACTTTAGTAAAAAAAATGTTCTTTTAAATTAATTTTCTTTTTCTTGCATGTTTACGCTCCTACTCCTTATAGTGTTATAAAAGTAAACTTATCTAGATTTGATATGCACTC